ATTGACGATGATGTTTGGTGGTGGTTAATTTTTACTGTTTTGGATGGTGGGTGGTAAGCTAATTTTTACTATTCTAGGATGGTGGTGGTGGCAACTGTGGTTGGTGGTGATAGGGATGGTGGGTGGGTGTGATTGTGGGTGTTGGTGATGTTGATGGTAGTGGTGAATTATGGTGGTGGGTGGCGGCGATGTTTGGTGGTGGTTAGTTTTTTAATATTTTGGGTGATGAGTTAGTTTTTTATTATTTTTGGTGTTGGTGACAGGTTATGTTGGGTGTGGGCGCGATGACAGGTGGTGGTGGTGGTTACGAGTTATGGTTAGCAGCGATGGTGGGTGATGGTGGTGGCAGGTAGTGGGTGTTAATTGGTAGGGGTGGTTAGTGGCGTTGGGTGGTAGTAGTGACGATGGTAATGGTGGGTGGTGGGAATGGATGGTGGTTAGCAAGTGACCATGAGGGGCAGGTGGTGGTTGGTGGACGACTATGGGTGTTGGTGGTGGTGTGTGGCGACGGTGGGGGTGATAGTGGTGGGTTGATAGGTGTTGTTGGCAACAGTGACAGTGATGGTAATTGTTGTGGTGGTCATGATAGTGGTGGTTAGTGGCGATGATGGGTGATGGTGTTTGCGGGTGGTGGTGGGGTGACAGTGGGTGGTGGTGGGAATGGGTGGTGGTTAGTAGCGATGGTGGGTGGTTGACAAGTGACGGTGAGGAACTGGTGGTGGTTGGTGGGTAGTGGTGATGGTGGGCGGTGGTGGTGATAGTGGGTGAATGGTGTTGGTGGCAGTGACAATGAAGGTGACGATGACCATGGTGGTGGTGGCGGTATTAGGATGAGGATGATAGTGGTAATAAAAATAAGGAAGAATTACACTCGAACCCCCTGAGATTTGTCATTTAATAATTCAGATCCCTTAACATTTAAAATATTACACATAGACTTCTAAAGTTTGTACGCATGTAACATTTAGACCCCTGTTTTCAATGTCTGTTAGTATATCCGTTAGAAAATTACATCTAGACCCCTTGAAGTTTGTAAGTGTATAATACTTATACTCTTTAAGTTTAAAATGTTATAGTTAGAACAAAAATACTCCAATTAAAGATAAAATATCAAATATTTTAAATTTTGTAATCAAAATTCATGTTATATTATGACATTTATTGAAATAAAATCAAAAATAAAAATCTAATTTAAAAAAAAAAATCATAATTAGTATATAATTATACTGTCTATTAGAATTTAATTTGGTCATTTAAATGACCAAATTAAACTACCAAATTACCCTAATTAAAGCTAGAATATATTGTATCCATTAAAATTTGATCCATTGTTTGATTTTCTAATTTTATTCCAATAAATGACATAATAGAATATGAATTTTTGTTAAAAAATTCAAATTCTATTATGAATGACTTAAACGTCTTGTTTGATTTTTTAGTTTTATTACAAAAGATAACGTAATTGTATACTAATTACGATTTTTTAAGAAAAAAAATTAATTTTTGATTTTTAATTTTATTTTAATAAATGATATTATAAAACATGAATTTTGTTTTTAAAATTTTAAATATTTGATATTCTACCTTTGATTGAAATATTTTTGGTCTGAATATAATATTTTAAATTTGAGGTGTCTAAGTATTATATGTCCACAAATTTCAAGAGATTTAGGTGTAATTTACTAACGGATATATTAACGGACAATTGACGGCAAAAGTCTAAGTGTTACACATGTAAAAACTTCAAATGTTTGTGTGTAATATTTTAAATGTCAAGTAATCTGAGTGATTAAATGACAAACTTCAAGGAATCTAAGTATAATTCTCCCAAAATATAAAAATTAGATAATAATGAAAATTTTTAAATAACATCCTCTATTAAAGATATTTTTGTAGATAATTAATTTTATAAACTTTTAACCGTAGAAGTCTTAAGGCTGTCCTTAAAGCTAAAAAAAATTTTCCGTGTGAACTCCCATAAATCTATTCCATCGATTTGGATGACTCAACAACCATTTTATAGAATATGGACCTCCCTAGTCCCTAGTCATTAGGCCACTGGTCATGAAGGTCATCCCCTCATGAAAGGTCAGCATAAGCATCTTAGTCTCAGTACATCTGAATTTATTTTCGTCCACATTACCACTTGATAATTAGAACCCAATCGCTTTCTCTCTATTCCCTTTTCTTATCTCTCTCTTCTTGCTTTTTATACCCAAAAGTCATGAATTGTAATCCAAATTTTTTGAAGCAATTAATCACATATAAAACAAAATAAAATAAAATAATAAAATAAATAAATTTTATATGTGCCATGTTCTCAATAAAAAAGAGAAGATTTACACCGAAAAAGCACCATAAGATTGCCCCTCTATTCTTTCTCCGATCTTCAATCTCATACTTCGTTTATTGGAATGTATCTCATAAACTTGATTTATGTTTATTCAAAATAGGTTTCAATTTAATTGACAACTCAATAATCTAACGCAAGTACAATTCAAATTTAAAGTGAATTTTGGGCTATACCCGAATACTCCATTCTCACATTATAAGTATCGATCTATATACTAATTTTTTTGGGATCGGTTCTAATTAATCCGTCCAAATTACATACCAACACATGTTTGAGCCAAAGTTCAATATCATTGGCTAAAAGTCATTTTCCAATTTCCAATAAGATCTCACCCCTAGGATACTCCTCAGCCTCTCGGCGTGTGCTGGCATGTCACGGATGAAACATCAATGTATATTGTATATTCTCTACTGGCAATTTTTTTTTTAATTTTTTGTTGAGCGTGGCGAATGGGACAATAAAGATCAAATTTACGAACAGTAGTGGTGCGGTGATCACTAAACCAACCAACTGCAAGTCGTCTTTTTGTGTTTTGTAACAAAGATACGTTAACTATATATATACTTATGCCAACAAAGTTTAAGTTTTAACTTTTAATTAACTCAATTTTGGAGGTTTAATTTTTGAACCTTGTACTCATAAAGAAGTCCCTGTAGGAGGATTAGATCCAAAATTTAACGAGTTACATTTAAAATTCAATTTTAGTTTATCAAACAACCACTCAATTCTATTTTATATGTATTAACAATGAACGTGTGTTGCACGTAAATAAATTTAAATAATTTTTTTTATAAAAAATATAAATTATTGCTAACTTTAATTATTACTAAATTTAATTATTAATTTATTATATAAGTTTTTGAGTACCAAATCTGTTATTTATTTATATATATCTTTGACCACTTTAGTCATTTGTACATTTAATTATATTGTAGAATTATTAATTATTAATTTGTTAAATAGATTGATTATTGTTTATAATACTATTATATTATTACATACCAAAAAATAAAAATATAACATATATTTGACAGTAATATTTAATCTTGTAACTCTACGTTTATAATAATTTTGGATATATTTAGAGTTTATTTTTTCATATAGATGTAAAAAATTATATGTAACTGTATTACTACTAAATAAGTTTTAAAAGAATTTAGATGCCCTTATAAAAAAATTCAAAACAAGTTGAAAGTCAAATAAGAGTAAAAAATAAAAATAAATAAAATATACATGTTTGTGTTATTGATTTTATTATAATAATTAAAAATAAAAAAAAATTAAATTTTTTTTGTAGATACTGACATATATATATATACAATATGATTGAACTCTCAAACAATTAGAGTGGTCATTGGGCCGACCACTAACTCTTCAATGTCGCAAAAGTCTTGCCCCCAATATTTTTTAAATTGCATATATAAATATTATTTGACAATTTCATATTTTCTATTAAATCACAAGACATTTTTTTTATTTAAATTTAGTTTTTGGTCTTTTTCTCTATCCCTTTGATTAGCATCAATAATCAAATCCAAAAATTGTAAAATTGATACCATAAAGTCAGACTCAAAATTTAAAATAATTTTCTTTTCAAAAAAATTATAATAATTAATTAAAATCTTCATTAATATCTGGCTAAACAAATTCAGCTCTACCCATTTCTCACAAAAAGGAGCGTGTACAATAAGCGTTGTGGTCGCGTCTCATATTAGTTCACAAACAATACAATTAAAAATAATATATTCTTCTCCAAGAAGCACTTGATATCAGCAATGAACACTTCCAAAAAAACGCATTACAGCAATAGCCTCTCTCTCTCTCTCTCTCTCTCTCTCTCTCTCTCTCTCTCTCTCTATATATATATATATATATATATAATAGATGGTAAGTGATATCTGAATTAATTTACGTGCATTTTAATTTATCTCTTATTTGATTCAGTCAAAGACAAACTATTCATGCTTAAGATTATAGTATATATGATGAATAAATCTTTTATAGTCTGACTCTAAAATAAATTTAATATTTAAATTTCAAATATTTGAATTCATAATTTATTTTTATTACTACTTGACTTGACCTTTTAGGTCGGTAACAACCTATATATATGTGTGTGTATATATTTATGGGTCTTTTAATAAAAAATTAATTTTTTAGTACCATACCAATGCTCCATTAATTTCAATATGGCACTTGAAAAAATATGGGTACGGTAAACTTATTTATCTATCTAATATTATAATTAAAAAATAAAATTAGCAATTTATAAAACAATAACAATTAAAATTAATTTAATTTTTATTTATTTTAACCAAATGATACAAAATTTATTCTAAATTTTTTTTCGATCAAAAACATAAACTTAATAAACGAACTTTCTAAAATCAGGCATTCCCACCGGTGCACACCTACTTCTTTCTTTTTTCTCTCTTATATCTCTCTTATTTTTTTGTTCACTCTAATTTTAAATTATACACATTTAAAATCTAAATTATTATTTTAAATATAAATATTATACTATCAATGCTTAACTTTTGAAATTAGGGTGTCATGGGGCTTTCTATTTTTATATATGTAAACGTGTATGCTTACGAAAGCATTCATTCAAGGACGTCCTCCGACCAATAGGCTCCAATTTCTTCTCCATACAACTTCAATATTAAAATCCAATTTGTACATTATTTAATTGTACGCATTTCCTCCGCAACATCATACTATTTCTTTCTATCCATGTTAGACCGAAACACTTTAACCAAAAAAAAATCATTCAATTGCCATGTCTCCGGTATTGACCTCCCAAGGTGCAGTCTTGGCCACCGCCGTTGCCGTCTCCGGCACGGTGATTCTTTTGGCTTTTCGCCTTCAAAAGTCTTCTTCCCCAACAACCCAATTCTCAATCAACTTAATTCCTCGGTCCCCATCATCAGTTCCTCGATCTTGCATCTCTTCAGGTATGTACACAACTCTCTCTCTCTCTCTCTCTTGGTCGAGTTGTGTTTGATTCGACATTTTCTTGAACCCATAATCAGTGTTTTTCAAATCGGTGACCGAGTTCACGAACTTGAACTATCTACAAACAATTAAAAATAAAATTATGTGGTTGACTCGGATAATTTGGGATAAAATTTGTGAAACTGTGTATACCAATATGTCCATCTACAAATATAAACATATGTGTATGTGTGTGTGTGTGTATTCTTATGGGTGTTTTGTGGGTGCATGTGCAGATGGGAAGAAGAGAGAGAAAAAGAAGAAGAGGGTGCACTTTGCAGAGGATGTGGTGGACCCAACAGGGAACGGTGAGGCGTATAGGAAGCTGCACAGTAATATCCACCACAGTCAAACTTCGCCGGAAAACTCATCGGCGTTGAAGAACGGTGCGGGAGTCCAAAGGGGAATGCCAGCGAATCGGGCGGCTCTGTACAACGGAATTCTAAGGGATCGAGTCCTTCACCGGGTGGCCTATTCACATTGAGCATTGACTTTCAACATGTTCGTTATGTCCATATTCTCTAATTTACCCTCTAATTTGTACAAATCTCAGATTTCTCTGGAGTTTTTTTAATCATGATTTCTCTTTAGTTTAGTTTCTTTTTTGTGGTTTAACGGTCAGGGTGTCTTCATTTATTTATGCGCACTTCAACTAATTTTCTCTTTTAGTTCGAAAATAGGATATTTATGAAGAATAATTCTCTCTCAACCTGATCTCAAAGGATTATCAAGATTTAAATATAGAACATCTGAGTTTATAGTTTATTTATGTTACTATTTGAAATACCCCTTGATTCTTTAGTTTAATTTCAATACTCCTAGGTCATACTAATAATACAATTAGACTTCTAATTATTGATTTAATTTTTGTAGAATGGATAGTAAAAATGATCAAATGTTAAGATTAGTAGCACATCTAATGATGGTGGTTAATTAGATCAGATGATTACATCTAAGTAGACTCTCTCGGGTAATATACAGGTAATATTGCAGATGAACTATAGTCTCCCTCCCTTGGGATTTTAATTTCTTGGTTATGAATTAATGGATATTATTTAATTTCTTATGATAAGAGGGAAGTTGAAATTTCAGGGATATTTCTGTACTTTTGCTTCCCAATTACTAATTTTTTTAGGGTGAGTACCCTTGTGTTTTTGTGAGTGAAGGCAACACAGGTTCAAGCCCATTGAAATTGAGATGGTGTCATCCAATGACAAAATTTGGTGGAAATTACTATTTCTTCATTCTCTGACCAATTCAGAATTGGCATATTGTACAAAAGAATAATTCAATGTGAACCATAACAGTGCACCAAAAGTTACACCAATTTAACTACGGTCGTTGGATCAGTAATGAAACTTACTAACTCAACAGCAATAAGTAATTTTGAGCAAGTTTTGATGCACATTTTTTGGGTAATTGTTCTTAAGTCCTTAAACCGTGTGGGATCAAATAACTACTTTGTCTTAATAAATAAAACTCTCTCCTTAGAGATGCGATACATAATCCCATAGGGTAGTAATCCAGTAGAGATAGAGTTGAATTCAAAATTTGGGAATTCCCTCAAGGACATTCTTCATGAATTTTCTCGTGAAACATGATCTAATATCACGAGAATTAAAGAAATTTAGTGGTTTGAATTTGAAGCAACATGAGATCAACCCCCCTCCAAAAAAATCCTTGTACATGTAGACTACTGTTAATGCATGTGTGAAAAGTGCCTTAGCATCAATGGACTTTTGACAAAAAAATTAGTTCCGCCCTTGGAAAAAGAAAGGTCAATTATTGCCATTTCAATTTTAATCTGCTCTTGAACAATTAATATAAAGGTCAATTATTGGTATTTTAATAATTTAGTCAACTTGACTCAACCAAGGTTTATCGGCAGATGTATCGGCCCAAAGAAAGAAAAAAAAAATAGTTAAACACCAACAATAAAAAACTCAATAGTTTGCATACATATCAAAATCGGATAAGTTATCGAATCGGTGAAGGGACTGGATAAATTGTTTAACTGTTTAGGTCAATTGGTCAGACCAACTATATCATAAAAAAATTATAAAATATAATAATTCAATTTGTATCGACTGTGTGTATATAGTGACAGAAATTTATGAAATATGAAATCTGAATATAGAATACACAGAGAGAGAGAGATGCACCACGTGTCAAGAACGTATTGGACAGTAAAAAAAAAAAATCTAAGGACACAGAGTATGGGCAACTGAGAAAGCCTTGGATTGGGTTGGATTTGTTTTGGAACAGAATCCACATATCTATCTTCAATTTGGATGCTGTTTGTATATCAGCTTTATTGTCTTTTTTGAAGTTCTTTTGTTGCAACTTCACATGCATATGCTGGAGTTTCTCAAGGGTGGGCTGTTTGTTGGTTACTCCAACCTATCTTTTGGAGTATTTGACCATTACTCCCACAAAATGGAACAACAGACCCAACTAGCTTTTCGATATGGCATCAAAATTATTAGATAATAGGAAAATTTTCGGTCCCTCCTCTTCTACTTTATCATAATTTTAAGAACATTCATTTTATTATTTGAATCTTCACTAACACCCCTTATCAGATTAAAAGTGTTTACTAAAATATAATTTTACTAAATTGCCCATAATATATTTTAGCAAAAAAATTAATCCATACCACTTATAGATAGACATATCTTCAATGAGACCCCATGTATTTTTAATTTTTTTTTATGTATTAAAATTTGGGATGATTAGAACTCGATTCGAGTTAATTAAAATTTATTTTTTACATATTAAAATTCGACTTTATTAAAAATTATATTTTTTTAATTATTAAAATTTATTTGTAATGACTCGAATTAAATTTTAATCAACTCTCATTAAATTTTAATCAGTCCAAATTTTGATACATAAAAAAATATAAATTTTAATCGACACAAATTTTAATATGTAAAAAATTGAATTTTAATCAATTTGAATCGGATTTTAATTGACACAAATTTTATTAAAAAAAAATATAATTTTTAATCAAGTTGAATCAAATTTTAATCGGCGCTAAAAACTTAGGTGGAACTTAAATCGGCACGAATTTTAATATGTAAGAAGGAATTTTAATAGGCTCGAATTTTAGTATATAAACAAACTAAAATTTAATCAGTTCGAATCAAATTTTAATTGACTTAAATTTTAATATGTAAAAAAATGAATTTTAATCAGTTCAAATTTTAATATGTAGAAAACTAAATTTTAATCGAATTTTATATAAAAAGATTGTTTGGTGTTTATATAAAAGTAATTTGGCATTTTGGACGATTTGTTTTTGTTAAAAATAGTGGTTTAATTGCAGGGGTTGTCAGTGATGTTTAAATATAAACTATAAGGGGGTGTCAATGATGTTTTGGATAATAGAGGTGATGTCCTTAAATATATGATAAATTAGAAGATGTGTGACTAAAATTTTTCCTAGATAACATCATTGGAGTAACAATTAAGACCAATAGAACTTCTTGTCTTTCGTAATTTGAGCCTATTGAGTAATAAAGTGATTTTGATGAGTTATAACTAATCCATATTTAGTTATGACGAGCTAAATACGTCCTAGGGTAAAGCACATGTCAAGCACAATCACATTCTTGGAGGGGTCACGAGACAAACATCTGAGTTGGATTCGATGTGGGAAAACAACTCCAAAACCCAAATCGACTTGCCTGCCATATCCCACTATTTTAGGTTAAACCAGTTGCAAATACTTGGGGAAGGAGGTTCCACATTTTTTGTTACCCAATTTGAAAAACAGCTACAGAGCTCCAATGGTAATAAGAGCTTAGCTTTTTAAGGGAATGAGGTAGCTATCTAGGTGAGTAACTCCTCCTAGCTAAACTCCACCTAATTTATAATACTTCTACTGATTTTATCATCAGAGGGTCGACTATCAGAGTCTCTCCAGTCTTGACTTCTGTGCAGAAACTCACCGGCGACTGCCAAATTATCGCTTCACCTTGGTGTAGTTTTTTGGGAACAACTGTTGGCATCGTTTGAGAGAATCGACTTGATTTCCAACAATAAAAATCTAAGTCCAATAGGGATCACAAGAGCATCCAAATATCCTATGGTCGATTAGACACAATAATGTCCTAACTCCCACACAGTGGGATGAAGGAACGTACCCCCACCAAAAAACGAATCCGCAAAGGTTAAAAGATTGAAGAAAGCTATTGAGAATCTAAAGAAGCAAACTAGTAGATTTTTGAGCTCCTGAAACAATCTCCAATAGAGGAACATGTCGCAGATAATCAAGGGGATGGCTTGAGTGAAAATGAAGTGTCCTGTCCCTATAATAATGATCGGTGGGAGTGAAAATTCTGGAAGGTAAGCGAAAAGCTAGGAAACGTCATAAGTATGGTGAACGCTCGAGTCCCAAAAGTCATTGAGGCTCTGGTTCAACACATCGAGTCACCGTTCCCGTAAGATGCGGCAAATTACCCTCTCCTAGAGAGGTTCAAGATGCCAACCATTGAGACGTTTGATGGAAACAATGACCCAATCGACCATTTCGAGACTTATAGATCTATAATGATGCTTCATAATGTGCCAAATCAAATGATGTGTCCAGCCTTCGCTACCATGCTCAAGAAGACAATAAGGCATTGGTTCAACAACCTGAAGTCGGGCTCGATCAACACATTTGGAGAGTTAAGCACCTCTTTCATCTTGCATTTCATTAGAGTCTGGGTTCACAAGCTACCGCCGACCTGCCTTCTCAATATCAAGCAATTCAATATAATGATGCTTCAGAAGTGAAACACTTTGAGGGTACGTAAGCCATTCATAATGAAGTCATTGCAGATTGACAACATTGATGACAAGGTGGCTCTGCCGCCTTCATCGGAGGTCTCTAGCCCTCCTAGTTCGTCTTTCCTTTTTCCAAAGAACCATCCTCCTCCATGGACGAGGTCTTGGCGAAAGCTCAACATTACATGAACACCAAAGATACTCTCCTAGCTCAAAAGAATCAGGAAGACAGATGAGAGGCCAGAGAGATGATAAAAGGAGGAGAGATCTCGCAAATAGGAAAGAAAAGGAAAACAGTCCTAATAAGAACCACAACGAAAGGGTAAGTGCGAGGGATTGTTTAGGTCCGTATACCAATGAGCCAGCTCAGAGGTACAACCCCTTAAACATTTCTGTGGAGCAAATCCTCTTCTAAAAATAGGATGAGAGAGTGCTCTGATGGGCTGCAAAGATGAAAACTCCTCCCAATAGGAGATCTAAGGACAAATACTATCGCTTCCAATAAGATCATGGCCACAACACCGATGATTATCATGCTTTGAAAGAGAAAATAGAGGATTTGATCTAGAAAGGCCATCTAGGGAGGTATATGGAGCATCGTTACCAAGAAAGGAATGAAGCGTAATCTCTATAGAGCAACGTTCAACACCAACAACCTGTTCGAGAGGTTTTGGTAATCTTTGGAGGCTTTGCAAGAGGTGGAGAGAGTAGCTCTACTAGGCAAGCACACACATGAAAAGCAAAATCGAACGAGCTGGAGGTGAGCTTGGTAAGCCCAGGGAAGAAGCCCTGGGTATAACCCTCAATCACCTTTTCCAAAGAAGATCTAAGAGGAATCCAACATCCACATGATGATCTA